TGTGGAGGTAAGATGAAAGTGAAGGAAAGAAAGAAGGAAAGATGATAAACACATTGACAGAGAGAAAGAGAGAGAGAGAGAGAGAGAGAGAGAGAGAGAGAGAGAGAGAAAGAAAAAGGAAGAGGGAGATACTTTAGGAAAAGTGAGGGCAAGTGTAATGGGTTAAAGAGACAGTGAATATTAGGGAGATAGAAAAGGAGAGCAAGAGAAATGGAGAGCACTTCAGTCTTGAAAACCCATCTCCTGTAATAATACCTCTGGTACAATCTCGGATAGCCTATGGATTGGAAAACAGATGTCCCCGAATCTATTTGCAGAGCATGGAGGCAGTATCATGTCTCCAGAAGCCGTCTTGACTATCTATGTACACATTCACCTTGATACACTCCCGCTCTTTATGTATGACAAACATCTTTCTGCACCGCTACATGCGGTAAGAGTGGCGAGAAGTTAAAGGGATTTATGAAATTATTCACATTGCAACATAAAATTATACAATATCATATGATCATTACTTGAGGTAATGGCCCGAGAAGGAAGAAGATGGGAAGAGCAAAAGAACCAATATTAATATGCATGTATTCAAAGCTTGCATGATTAATACAAAAATGATCAGTTATACTTATAAAATTTATACAACAGCTTTGAAATCCTATATCTGGGCATTTCTTTCTGATCTCTTATATTTTTAGTATAGGCCTACCGGATTACTGTATCTTTCTAGAGCTTTTAAATAGTGAGGGGTAAACATCCTTTTGATGTTTGTTATGTGTGTATATTATTTCATCATACTTTGTAATGTACATAGGACACATAATGGAAACAGGAAAAATATGTTTGACTTACCTATCTACACATTCATGGATTGTAGATTGGAATATTTGTGACACAGTGCCTGTAACACAGTGCCTGTAATACAATACGACTGTTTTTGCTCTAATTGTACTATAGGTTTAAGTGCATTATCTTCTTAATTGTTTGCCTTATGTGTAACAGGAAATAAAGTAGTGATAATTGAAAAGACGGTTAGAATCTGGGTGATATCTTGTTATTTCCTTGATAATGGGAGTCTATGAATTGTAAATTGTGGTTAATTGTAAAATACGGTAGATTAACAAGTAGAGTGCAATGTCTTCCGTATTGTTAAGATTTTGAGTTAAGTATGCATTTCTTTGAACTCATGAAAATGTGGTTTCACTGAAAAGTACCCTCACTTTTCAGATATGACATTTTCACTCTTTTTAATCATTTTATGTGCATGTAATTAGACATTGATACATACAAAACAATTTACTTTAGGTAAAACCTGATATGGTACATCTTAGGCTCTTGTATATGTACCGGTATTTATTTTTGTATGTATTTTTTATTACTCCTACATGTGCATGTACTGTATATGTGCATACAATATGTAACTGTGAGCCTAACAAGTGATGGTATTAAAGCTAGGGCACCATTGACTTGTACAGAACGATGTGTTAAAATTTTGTGATACTTATTTTCCATCCTGTTTCTGTATTTCTTTACTGAATATCATTATATAAATAAGATTCGAGAATATAACTGGATTTTAGAGTTTGATTCGTTGCTGATTACTGTCAAACATTGCTAAATTGTGTAAGACCATCTACATATAGTAACCAATAAAATTGTCACCTATTGTTATGTACTCCCATAAACATCAATGTATATTCTTGTCAAATCATACTGTACTTTTTATCTCTAAGATGACAGGTCTATGAATATGTGCAAAAATCTTTAAATTAACATACTGTACGTGTACATGTATATGTACATGAATGATATGGAATCATTTGAGTTTTGGTTTGATTATCAGAAAGATGTATGTGAAATACAGTACATGTGTGTTAAACGTGAGAGATGAAAAGTTGGAAACCATACCTACAAGTTCCCCTGTACTTTCCCTTCCTGTGTTCACTGCTGGTACCCAGAGAGAAATTAAAGCACTAATGTACAGTGTACATGCTGGGCTGAGTTTGAAAAGAAACATGCAATGAACATGAAGACAAGTGGTATTAAATAGATCACATCTTCTAAAGGAAATTATAAGTTAATGCAAATTAGTTGAGCAGTTAATAGAAAAACAAAAAATGTTCAGGCCGATCACATACTTTGAAAACATTTCTATTATGGAGTCCCTGGGTAACTAACGTAGTCCTGTGTATACATATTTCTGTTGTTAGTTTCAAGTGTACTTCAGTTTCAACTATTTGTTGTAATTTTCTTTACAATTCTCTTGTCCAGTCAACCAGTTGTATGCATCATAGGAAATTAAATGACTTTCCAACAACTCTGAAAATGCAGAAAGTTTCCATTGAACACCAGAAGCTGTGAACTCGACTGGCTATACAGTAGCTCGCTACCATGCGCATTCATGTACCCAACGTTTCAAGCGACAATCGACCGTCTCATTCTCCCATAGACCCATGCATACCCTTCGCTTTTTACATCCAACCTGCCAAAGAGACTCTATAGTGCATAGGTGTCTATGGTTCCTGAATGCAAATTTATGATGAACATGGGTCCAAGTGAGAAAAACACCTGTTTAATGGAAAAGCCATGACTTTGCTCCTACCCTACATTTGCTGAAAGTGTATTGTTACTTTTTTTCTCCCTTCTATGATTCATTTTTCCCTCTTTTGTGACATCCTCACAGTTTCCTTCCGTTCATCGCTCTGATTTTTTTGTCGCTCACCTTCTCCGCTTTCATGTCTCCAGTTGCAACATGTATGTTCATTTTATGCTTCATATTTTTTAAATCAAGGGTCTTCTCTTTTCATTTTCTACATAAAGCATAATGCAGGGGGACTGCACATTTCAGTGTTGACATACAATCAGTCAATACAGTGTACTATTGATGCAGACCCCGGCATTGGAGACTTTCTTTGTTATTTTAATAATTATGTGTATCTCTTAGTCTGATATACCCTCTTATTACTATAATTTCTGCCTCATCTACTTTGATCACTTCCCCTTCCGATTCATTTGTTATTTATTTTCCCCTCATTCTCTTCTAAATTTTGACTTTTTATGCCTCCGCCACCGAAGGTGGTGCCGGAGGCATCATGTTTTCGGGTTGTCCGTCCGTACGTCCGTCCGTCCGTACATCCGTCCGTCCGTACGTCCGTCCGTCCGTACGTCCGTACGTCCGTCCGTCCGTCCCGTTTGACCGTTATCACAATATCTCAAGAACCATTTAAGATTTAAACTTAAGACTCGGGAATAGTATTTATCACCATAGGAAGACGATCTGATTAGATTTTGGAGTACGTAGGTCAAAGGTCACAGGTCACAGAGGTCAACTTATGAAATTCCTTGTATTGAGTTTGTTAGCGCGATATCTCAAGAACCATTTGAGATTTAAACTTCAAACTTAAGGATAGTATGTATCACCATAGGAAGACGATCTGATTAGATGTTGGAGCACGTATGTCAAAGGTCAAGGGTCACAGAGGTCAACTTATGAAATTCCATACATTGAGATTGTTATCATGATATCTCAAGAACCACTGGAGATTTAAACTTCAAACTTAGTGATAGTGTGTATCACTATAGGAAAACAATCTGATTACATTTTGGAGCACGTAGGTCAAAGGTCAAGGGTCATAGAGGTCAACTTATGAAATTCCATACATTGAGATTGTTATCATGATATCTCAAAAACCACTGGAGATGTAAAAACTTCAAACTTAGTGATAGTGTGTATCACTATAGGAAAACAATCTGATTACATTTTGGAGCACGTAGGTCAAAGGTCAAGGGTCATAGAGGTCAACTTATGAAATTCCATACATTGAGATTGTTATCATGATATCTCAAAAACCACTGGAGATGTAAAAACTTCAAACTTAAGGATAGTATGTATCACCATAGGAAGACGATCTGATTAGATTTTGGAGCACGTAGGTCAAAGGTCAAGGGTCACAGAGGTCAACTTATGAAATTCCATACATTGAGATTGTTATCATAATATCTCAAGAACCACTGGAGATTTAAACTTCAAACTTAATGATAGTGTGTATCACCATAGGAAGACAATCTGATTAGATTTTGGAGCACGTAGGTCAAAGGTCAAGGGTCACAGAGGTCAACTTATGAAATTCCATACATTGAGATTGTTATCATGATATCTCAAGAACCACTGGAGATTTAAACTCCAAACTTGTTTAAATTGCTCTATGGCGGAGGCATCATTTTCGACTGCGCGCAGTCAAAATTCCATCTAGTTTCCTTCTTTCTCTTGACTAAACATGATAATCTTGTCTATTACACGTACATGTTTGATTGAATTATACATCATTTAATTATCACCTTAGTGTTTAAAGGTAAAACTACATTAATTCATATACACACCTGTACATGTTGTACGTGCTAAGTTAAAAACAACAAGTGAAATCTATAGCTAGGTCCCATATGAGAGAGTATAGGAAGTTGACTATCAGTTGGTGTGTGTCTAGGCAGAAGTTGATTTGTGGTTTGAACTCACTATCCAACTCACTGATTTGATTGTGTATTGACTTACTTTTGCTCTACTTAATTGGGATCATCCACCTCTTTTTATGAGATGAGGGGAGGGGGTCTGGACATCTTTTTCCAAAACTAATGCTCCATCTTGGAATATAGCCATGGAGCTCATGTATACAGTGAAACCTGTCTATAAAGACCACCCAAGGGAGACAGGAAAAATGATCTTTATAGGCAGGTGGCATTTATGTACAGGCTCCTTAAGTACCTGTTTCAATGAGAAACCTTTTTCATTGAAAAAAAAAAGTGGTCTCTGTAGACAGGTGGTCGCTAAAGCAGGTTTGACTGTAAATATATATATATATATATATATATATATATATATATATAAATATATTTATATACATTTGATTTTAGCGTGTACATGTACAACATAATCTATCAAAATGCTTTCATATACCCACTGTGTAGTAAAAATTAATATATTTTTGTATTCTCTGTGTCTTCTTTATCAGGTTTTCTTCCGATTTTACAACCACATTGACATTGACTTTGAGCGTAGGATTCCTAAATGAGGGTCAGATGTTGTTGTGGTATATCGGACTCCTCAGCGTGGCTTCCTGATTGTGATAGCAAGCAAGCTGTTTTTATTCCATCAGATGTAAGGTATTAAAACCCTGGCAAGCAGTGGTCTTCCATCAAAACAACAACTTTACAAACAATTTGCAAGCTCAGTATTTTACTTGGATTGGATTTTTAACAGGAAACAAGGTATGTATTATGTTGGTTGGTTTGTTTTTACATGACTGTTTTATGTTTCTTTATGTGTTCATATTTATCTTATGTTCATTTGAAAAGTACTGTTTTATTTATAACCCAAGTATTATGAAAACACAAGTATCCTGATTTTGCTGTTTTTCAATAGTAGGAATTGAAATATGTACTTGCATTTATAATTAAAAAATAAAGCGCTTAGAAACAAAGTATAAACAAAGGGCTAAATAAACATGACAATTATTATTATTATTATCATTATTGTTCATGTATGTGAACATAATTTCGCACATCCAGATTGAGTTGCACTTAAACTTGTACATGAACCATAAGGTAGACATGCTATTAATTATGTCCATTTGAGTACTTTGTTCGCATTACTCTTTCACATCCATACTCTGTGCAAGAAAACAAAATCCGAAATCTGATTGGTTAATAAACACGGTTGAGACAATACCACGTAACTGAGAATACATCCTTTAGACATTCAATCCATACAAATACCGGCCTAAGCTGTCTAAGCTTTGCAGAATTGGATAAGTAATGAAGGGTTTAGATACAGCTTTATTGAAAACAAAGCATTTACATTGCAGAAGCCAGGGTTGTTCATCAGGCATTTGTGGAAGTACCTCATCTTTTCATTAAAGTATTCCAAGCCTGGAATTATTGGAGTAATGAAGAGATGGGAGGGTGAGACTGGATGTCTATGTGATTCATTTACGTTTTATGCACATGAACAGTGGCATACATTCCCCATACTGCTGAAAACCATTCCCCCCCCCCCCAAAAAAAAAAAAAAAAAAAAACGTAAGAAAAAGAGGGGGCAAGGGAAACATAAAATGGAGAGAGATAAAAAGAATGTTGAGCAGAAAATAACACAACCATGATAATCCTGCTATGTAATCCAGATATCAAATTTCAATTTCAAATTTCATTTATTGGTCCAAAAGGTAATTTGTTGCATTTACATGCGTTATTCGTAGAGAAAAATAAATAAAATGTACATGTGACATGAAACATACAACATACAACGAGTATATAGAAAAAATAAACATATAGCACTTTAACATTCTCACATTATTTCATGATATATATCAACCTTGCTTGCTTTTTACCCCATCCCCCTCCCCCTCCCCCTCTCCTTCTCCATGATGGCCAGTGGCCAGTGACCCCTTAATGAATGGCCTCATACTGCAGCCTGCACATGAAGTGGTTCTTCAAATGAAGATGATATGTACAGTCGTCATACATATCAAATTCCAATCAAGCTTGGTCTAGATCTAACCTACATTTGAAGTCAAGGAATATTGCAGGATATGTTTTGAGTGCAGCAATATATGTTTTTCCATTAGAGTAAGGAAAGACTGCATTTTCCAGTAGACATGGCAGTCACAGTAATAAAGGTTAAATGTGTCTGGAGAAGAATTCCCATACATTTATGTTCTGGTGTACACCAGTACACATATATGGAGGTACATTCTATAAAGCTATGTGTGGGTCAATGCCTACTGTATTCACATGTATTGACCTGGGAACTAATTGGTGAAGAGCATCCTCTTGTGGCAAGATATTTATAATGTTGGTGATGTGCAGTACACTGTACAACTCTTATTTTCAGTTGTAAAGATAGACAAATATATGATATTTATCATTTATTTTTTATATACAGTAGGATAAAGATATATCTTGGATAGACATTTCCCTGATAGGGGTGATTTGTTTGATAGTACCTTTAAAAATAATGCAGCAGTTTTTCAAGTACATTCTGAACTGTCTGGCTTCCATAAATAGAGGACTTTAGAGACATTGTTTTCATCCAAGAAAGTTGTATGACCACTGCCATTCTGTCTACCGAGGGGTATTCAACGCATGGTAGGAATTCCAGCCACGAGGGTGTCAGAATAAACATCAATCCGTTGAAAAACAAGCATAAATAGGATGTGCCTTGTTCAGTGGAGTAATCATTGTTATTTCCATCTCACCCTTGACCTAGCGACCCCTGCCCAAAGGTCAAGTTCAAGCTATCAATCAATGTCAGAATTGAATCATTCAATGAAATGTCAGATAGAAGAGAGTATTTGGTTCCAAAAGCTGTCAATGAAGTTTTACATGACTGGAAAGTAGCATAACATGTGTTAGTTGATTCAAGCTAATTTTGCAGACTTGTAACATGTACCACACTTTCGGTTTTGCAGTGGGGTTTTCATTTGAGTTTTCTCACATAGTGTAAGTATTCTATTTAACTGTCTTTTCTTTCTGAAAATTCATAAGATGATTAGATTTATTTGTGCGAAAACAAATTTTGATATTTGCAAACCATTTTTTAAAATAAGTTTTTACTCTAATTTGTGTCTTGTTTGTGAAATGAAATTGCCATCCGTGCATTGAAAAATAACTGATTTGAGAAGGATTAATGAAATTCCGCTTAAAAAATTAATCTTATTTGCCCTTTGGTCTAATCTGCAATATTCTAGTGGCCCACCCCTCTCCACTCGCCCTAAATTTTTGCCAAATGTTCCTAAAGTCGTGCAAGTATCCGATTTCCCGGGGAAATGAGGCCAGAGAGTCATTAATTTAATGAAATCAGCGTTTGAGTATTGCTCTTGATGCGCAATGCATAGCTCATGTTACTTGTGTACTAAGGAGCCCTCTGCCTCATTTCGATAATCGAAAAATGTGTCTTGGAGTATCGACGGTGGTCGTAATCACCCCCATGTAGGACCCAGGAGGGTCGCGAGGAAGATTGGGAACCATCGTTGTGCCTAAAGTGTTCTGGGTCTGGCTTTGATTTTCATTAATGATTTGTGAATCTGTGCAAGTAAAGAAAGAGTTTTGACTCTGATTTTGAATTTGTTTTGGATGGGTTTTGCCTATGTTTAACCTTTTTAATTGCATAGTTTTATGACAGTAAAAAAAATGCTTAATTTGAATAGCATCCATGCCAATGGTAATAAAAATTATGATAGCGATTGAATATAAACAGATATTACCAAAAAAATTATCATGACAGTAGCTGGAATTCATTTTTGGATATAATTCTAAATTTTAAAAAAATGCATGAAGTGGGGTTTTATTTTTGACTGTTAAAGATTAAATTTGCTCATAAATATCTCTTAAAGGAGAATTGGTCATCAAACGTACCTTTCATTGTGTTAGATACAGGTATAGAAACATGCTTATGAAAAGATTAATTCATTGTAGCTAAAACTAAAGGATGGAATATTGGAAGGAGAATTTCTTCTTACTTGTCTTGAACATGTATGAAACTCATTTTTTCATCAAGTACCGGTATTCTTTTGATTTTCAATTCTTTCCTGACTTAAGATTCCAGTATTTTGCTTCCTTTCTAACTACTATTAAACACTTCTTAAATGAGATGCTTGAAAATAAGTCCAATTTGTTTTGGTTTTTGTTGTTGAGGGGGGGGGGGGGGGGGGGCTAGTGAGATGCATACTAACAATATCATGGATTCTTATTGTGTTAGATACAGGTATAGAAACATGCTTATGAAAAGATTAATTCATTGTAGCTAAAACTAAAGGATGGAATATTGGAAGGAGAATTTCTTCTTACTTGTCTTGAACATGTATGAAACTCATTTTTTCATCAAGTACCGGTATTCTTTTGATTTTCGATTCTTTCCTGACTTAAGATTCCAGTATTTTGCTTCCTTTCTAACTACTATTAAACACTTCTTAAATGAGATACTTGAAAATAAGTCCAATTTGTTTTGGTTTTTGTTGTTGAGGGGGGGGGGGGGGGGGGGGGGGCTAGTGAGATGCATACTAACAATATCATGGATTCTTATTTTTTTCCTCGGAACATTGCTACATTTATCATTGAATATTGGAATTTTATTTACTTGCCTTTTATGTGCTAAACATTGATTATTGGTCCTGCTACTCCTATACCATTCAGGTATGACCTTTCTTACACTCAAAAGATATCAACGAACCAGTCAATGACATGTACGTGTACAGGTACTCGTTCTTTCACAGTTTCACCACTACATGTAAGTTGCCATCTTACATGTCTTTAACACATGTACATACATTTAATTGCGGTTTCTCATGCCACTGTATGCATACATGTAAGTGACAACTTCTCATTAACTGATGAATCATCCCTTATGATTGCCAAGTCCAAATGCAGGAATATTTGCCACCCCTTGTGGTATTTCCAATCTGTTTTGATAGCTACCCTGGAGTTGATACCTAGAGATGGGTTTATACTCTCTCTCTCTCTCACTCTCTCTTTCTGTCTCTCGCTCTCTTTTTATCTCTCGCTCTCTCTCTCTCTCTCTTTCTCTCTCTCTTCCCCCCCCCTCTCTCTCTCCCTCCCACCCTCTCCTTGTTTCTCCATCTCTGATTTCTTCTTTTTCTCTGTATTCGTCTTTACATTAAAAGTGTCTCTCTATCTGAGTCTTTGTCAATGTTATTCTGTATCTGGCTTTCTTTTTATCTTGTCCGCCTGTCAGTCTGTCGGTCGAGCTCTTTTTCTCCCTTGCAAACACACCCCTCTCTCTCTCTCTTTCTCACCCTCAATCTCTGTTCCTGTCTCAGTATTTCTGTCTTTGCCTTATTACCTCTGTTTCATATTTTTTTTTATCTTGCCCTCTCACTTTCTCCTCCCCCTCTCTCTCTCCCTTCCCTTCCCCTCTTTTAAAAAATCGTATTTCATTCCCTCTATATTTTATTATACTTTATTTTCCTTTTCCCCCCCTCTCACTCTGAAATACAAATTTCTTTTTTCTCTAACCCATACTGTCTCTTGCCTTTCATGCATTCCATTTCTATAGCTGCTCTCAGTGTTATCCCTCTCCTTATCTTTTTTCCTCTCTCTCTCTCTCTCTCTCTCTGTGTCCTCTTTTCCCCTCACATTAAAAATGTACTTGCCTGTTCATGAGTATGGTTATTGTATTAAAGTCATAAATGTTGCTTCCCTTTTCTCCTTGGGATCCTCCAAGTCGACCCATCACTATGCAAAAGGCGATTGATTTGGGACATTAGATTCAATTATCTTGAAAGGAAACTGATTTGATGTAATCAGATCTTGGAAGACGACCTGATTGAAGGTCAATTAAGAGAAAGACAGCACAAACCCTGGGCCTGGACTTCAATTTTAATCAAAGGCAATTAGAGAAAAGCCTGTGCCAATTTAGAGATTAATGCGATGCCATGGTGGTAGAGATGTCCATCTGTGGTATTCGGTGCATTTTCGATGATTTGTTTGTTCCCTTTTCAGAAATTTCTTTATAAAGTTTTTACTTTTGAAATGTAGTATGTTTACATTCATGTAGGGGTACTCTGACTCTTGAGTAGATTATTTAGTGAAAGTAGGGCATCATTATTGCTTTGGGAGCATGATGGCTGTACCTGTTCCTATAGAAAGTAGAATCAATGTAAGAAAAGCTTTGCCAAGCTTTTTAAATTTGTTCCACAGTGTAGTACAGTGCTTTCACTATGCTGACTTTTTTTTTAAATATCCAGATTTGACTAAGTAGATTAAAAAGGTTTTATTTTAAAACAGCAAACAGATTTTTTCTGATGGAAACTTACAATTTGAAAAGTACTTAAAAAAAAAACAACAACATTATAATGCAGGTCATGTTCATTACATGTAGGTCGGGCTATGAACTCTACCTTTGCCAAGAGAGAAAGAATTGGAAAAAAAGGAGAAAATCTCAAACAAATTGATATTGTCAAAACCGAATGAGCCATCGCTGATATCATCAATGGAGTTGCATGAATAATGCAGGGTTTCTCCAAAGTTACTGAAATCATGCAAATTATCATCAATTAACAAATATTGTTAACCCTCCCTGTACTGCAGATGGCAGTCTGTGTGTTGAGTCAATGGTAATTTTGGTGAGCGGGAATAAAGGAGTTAGGATAGAATGAGCGATCCTTTTTTGTGTGCAGTGCTGCGGTAAGCTTAATAGCCACAAAAGTTATGATAGTTGACATTTGGCGGAGTCA